GGGAGTTTCCTGAAAGGTCACGGTTGTTCCAGCAGACCAAACACTGGCTAATTGCTTTGTTGTTTGCCAGGTTGGTGGTGGTGTTTTTGTGTTGCACTTTTCCTTTGTTTAGCATTCCCAAGAATATTACCTGAGCCTGTGGCCAAAAGATGGGGAGGATGGAGAGGGGAGTGTGAAGAGTTGGAGACAAAGGAGGGGGAGGTTGAGCACTGAAAATATGAAGGCAGCGGCCGCTTGGTGGATGCCGTGATTAGGCCGTGAAGGGGCCCCCCATCTCTCTTCGTCTCTCAAGCTAAAAATAGCAGGAGTAGGAAGGTTGTTATGGGACCGGGGGGAGGACTGGAGGGGACAGGACAAGCAGGGACCGCAGTAATTGGCAAGAGACAAACAGCTGGGGGAGTGTGTGTGAGTGTGTGTTTGTATATGTGAGGGGGCTCTAGTCCATGCAGCTGTACTCTGTCTTTCAGGCCCTAGATCCCTCTCAAATTGTTACATTGCCTCTTTCTCTCTCTCTCTTTCTCTCTCTCACACACACACAGACACTGCAGGAAGGAAAGTAATGGGTCCCTGACAACCAGAGCCCTAAAGAATGAAAGAATGTGCAACATGAGGCAAGGGAACAGCTGTATAGAGGGGGGGAAACAAGAGGGTGGGGGGGCGGGGGGCAGTTGATTCACAGAAGATGGGCGAGGTACGGCCACAGAAGAGATGATGAAAAAAGGGGGAAAATAACTTACTAAGAGTAACAGTATGTGGAGAGGGTGGACGTTTCTGGAAGTGGAATCAACAAATTTATCGGTTTATGTCAAACGTTGGTCTAAATCAACCCCAGAATGTCCTGGCTGGGACTGGAAGCCAAGCAGATGTTTTGCTCAGCTGTTGCAGAACCGATCCGCTGTTGGGTGGATGTGCCGCCGATTAAGTGGGCTCTCTGTAATGAAACAGCCTTGGGAACTTAAACAAGACCAATGCAAGGACGACAAACTCCAGATCCCTTGTGTGTGTGTGTGTGTGTGTGTGTGGGAGGTAGTGGAAATAATATGAAGTCACCCTGGCTGAGAGGGTACTGGCTATTTGGTTTTGGCTCTGTACTACATCTTCATATGTTAAAGCTGGACCATGGAAAAATGGCTTGATGTTGGTTTGTTCATTTCCTACATACTTATACACATAAATTTAAACTGTTATGAGCTGTTAACCCCAAATTTTAGGTGAGACCTCGCCAAGATATACATCTGTACGTTATGTTTCTGTGTCTTTGTCACTGTCTGTATTTTTATGCTAGAAAGCATCTGCATGTGGTTTATTGTGCCACTCCCATTTTTCAGAAGACAAGCTACATTTTTGTTTCGCGTACACAAAGTGATGGGAGAGAAAATAACATGAAAAAAAAAACCCTGCACAGCAAAACCACAATCATGAGCTACAGCCAGACCACAGTGCCACACATGTAATGTAGACACAAATATGCACAATCATGCGTGCAAACAGAGACACATGCAAACACATAAGACAGATGTGCATAAGTATTTTAATCAGTTTTAGATCATTCAACATCTATGTTTCTAGAAATGTTGATACATGCCTACATACACACCTGGATCACACTCGCCACACTTTGTTAAGAGATTTTTTTTTGCCTCCGAGCCTTCACTTCTTGTGAAATCCCCTCCTCCCCCCTTCATATTTCTACTGAAAATACCACCGTCGCCGTGGTTGGAGATGACACTTATCGCGCCATCTGAAATGTGTTTGTTGGTGTGTATATGAGATCAAGGTTCTACAGGGGCTACATGTCATGATGCACCTGTGTGCTGCCGGATATGCCGCCCGCCCCCTATTACCACAATACACACACACACATACACACACGCACACACACACATACACACACACACACACACACACACACACACACATATACACATTGGCCACCTGTACTGTCTGTTGTCTTGTAACCTTAATACGTGGGTTGTTGAATACTTTCTCACTGTAACTGTTTCACATGTCACCAATGCACGTGTTTTTTGTTATTTTCTTTTTTATGTGAAACTCAACTTTGCTAGGCAGCATTAAGGTGGTTTTATGTAATATTGGGCTAAAATATCTTCTTAAAATACAGATAAAACATTACTACTGAGCTTTGAACTGTGAAGTACATATATACAAAAATACAATATTCTTAAAATAATTTAAACAATGGTTAGATTAATACATTATAAATCCTTGTTTGATCAGAGGCAGGGTTTAGTGTAGTGTGGCCTTAACAACAGTGCACATTTCTGCAAAATGATTGAATGACTAGTCATTTTTCTTTAAAGCTGCTATTATTGATGATTATATTGATTACCAGTGAATCAAATGACTGACTGAGTGTGTGTGTGTGTGTGTGTGTGTGTGTGAGTGTGTGTGAAAGATATCACTCATAGTGATGAACCCACAGAAAATTATCACCTAACTCTGCGGTTCCCCTCAGCTCTGTGTTTTAGCATCCTTCAATACAACATTATGTAAGAAGGGGTTGTCTTCATATAGGAAATCTAGTAGTCCATACTAATATGAGTGAAAAGCTACTTGATACTCAGTTTGATCACATGGTAAAAAACAAAACAGTAAATCCCATGTACTTTAACATATACTCCTTTATTAAAAACATTTGAATATATTCGCCCTCAAATAGTAAATAAATTTGTTTTCATATAGAATGTATATTTTCTTTACCTGCCTACCCTTGCCTTTCTTTGTCATCTTTAATGTAAAAAAATGTATTTCCTCACAGTTTGTGTGTCCTGCTCATAGTTCAGTTGGGGTTAGACTTTGTGGTCATTTTGAAACTCGGACATCATTACGTATGAGTCCTTCCTCCTCCTGCACACCCTGTAGGTGCAAACCACTCGCCTAAAACAAATGGAGTTTTTCCACCATGTGAGAACACTATGCTGCCCCCGTCAGGTCTAGAAGAATTGCATCCACTACCTACAATACTGTAGAAAAACGAGTGCCTTCACGTTTTCAGAATTTTGGCATCAAATTGGTACCGAAGTATCAGTTTTTAATTCCCAAGAACTAGTTTCTTTTGCAATTTGGCATCACTACAGTTTCAGAGTGCAATTTACTTATACACCACTTGTAACCACTTTTAAATATGGACAGCTGTACATGTGCATTTGTTATGATTACATTACTTATGATCATAAGTCACAACTTGCTAACACAACCAAACATCAAGCAAGTGGAATAAGACGTACCAAGCTAGTTAATATTATTAACTATTTCAACAACAAAAAAAACTAAGCTTGCCATCTGTCTGCAGCCATTTATTTTACAAAGCTCCCGTCAATGACTAAAAGCTAGTCTGAGATTTACTCCTATCGATATTCTGATGAGGTTGCAGCCCAGCGAGAAAGTTTTGTACTGAGAATGTTACTGTGTGTTTTTATTTAGTTCCCAGAATGTTCTTCTTAAAGATAGGATAACATTCCCTAAATACATTATAATAATGTTTGGTGATAACCTTCTTAAAAATGTTTAGTAATAACATTAGAAGAACACAGTGCCCTAACTTTCTTAAACTGTTTCCGAAATGGTCTTAGAATGTTACACTGCATTGTTCTAGTAATGTTTTCGGCAGGAAGTTTTTATTTGGTTCCGAGGAAGTTCTTCTTAAAGGTAGACTAATGTTCTCTAAAAACATTATTAAAATGAAAGCATTTTTGCATGGAATGTGGGGACTTTATAACAAACCACAACGGGTCCAGGTATGGCTCATTAGCCTGATGACCCCCACCAGGATCTGAAAAACAAAAGAAAACCTGGCAACCAAGAATGAGGACAACTAGTAGAGTGTCACATCCCAAAATGTTATTATTTTAGAGTAGGATAACATTCCTTAAAAACATTATAAAAAGTGGTTACATTATAAATGATTAGAATATTGTGACAAACCCCCATCCCTAACTCTGCAAATGTCTTATAAAAGAACATTTCATAATCTGTAACCTCAATAACGTTACCAAATTATCCTCAGAATGTTACAGGAAAAATGTCCTACCTTTGTCAACATGTTACATTACAGGAACGTTTTATAAAAACGCTCAGGCCTTACTGACATCTTTAAAACATTTTCCAAATGTTGCTTTGAAGATGTTCTTCCTTTATTATCAAGTAACAATGTGTGAATGTTTTATAAAATAATCTGTTGCCTCAATAATGTCCCCAAAACATCCTCAGAGTGCTGCAGGCAGAGGTTCTACGCTTGTTAACATATCACATTATAAGAACATTTTATAAAAAACTTTTATCATCTCAGGTCTCAAAACATTTCTCAAGTGTTGCATTTGAAATGTTCTTCCTTTGTTATCATATAACATTGCTCACATTTATAAAGGAACATTCTATAATTTGTTGCCTCAATAAGGTCTCCAAAACATCCTCAGAAGGTTTGCAGGCAAAATGTTCTACCTTTATTAACACTTACGTTACAGGAATATTTTATGAAAACATTATTTAATCTGAGAACCAATAGTATCCTGAAAACATTTTCCGAATGTTGTTTGAGAATGTTCTTCCTTTGTTGTCATGTAGTCTGTGCATCATCCTCTCAATGTTAATGTTATAATGTTATGTCTCAGTTAACATTTAACCATATAAGAACATTATTTGAAATAATCAACGTCCTTAAAATGTTCTTTGAACATTATATTCAAACGTTTTCTTTAAACCATACTTAGAACTTGTAGGGAATGTTAACCAATGTTGTGGGAACGTTTCCTGCTGGCTGAAAGTGCTGGCAGCTCATCTAACTGAGCTAACTAACAGCAGCTAAGTTACAGTTAGCGGTTAGTGTTACTTTAACAACAAGGAAAACGGTCTGTCAGAAGACTCTGTAAATCACAGAGAGTCAACGAAGAGCAGCATCAGAGGACACAGAGGAACATTTTTCAAATAAAATATGATCACTGTCAGGGACCAAACAGTCAAGCAATGAGGAAAACCAGGAGTTTGTTATAGGGGTTTTTTATTTACCCAAAAATACCAAACAATAGAAACCAAGAATTTAACATCTTAGGCCTATAAAAGAGGTCAACAAAATATAACTATACTCAAAACAGCATACAACAGACAGAATATGAACTAAACAAACTGACCTGCCTGAATGAGACACAAAGGAACATATATAGTGGCTTGGCCAAACCAATTTACCCACAAGGTGAAAACAAAATGGATGCCAACTACAACTACTACAAGTAAAACAAACTAAACCCAAAATCCCCCTCCAACATGGCAGCACATGGTACGGCTTGATTGGTAGGCCACAGGATATACCCATCCTCCACCCTTGGCCACGCCTTTCCTCCACCAGGACAGACCTCATTGCTGGCTGTTACCCTGTGTGGCTTGGGCCATCACACACCCCCCCCCTTCAGGACTCTCGCTGGAACTACGAGAGAGGTAGTCAGCTGTAATGTTGTCCTTGCCAGGGATGTGCTGAATGCGGAAGCGGAAAGGTTGTAGTGCCAGACACCACCGAGTAATCCGGCTATTTGTGTCCTTCATTCTTTCCATCCACTGAAGAGCTTTGTGGTCTGTCTCGAGGATGAATTCTCTGCCCAGGAGGTAATACCGAAAGGAGTCGAGAGCCCACTTGATAGCAAGCGCCTCCTTTTCCACTGTTGAATACCTAACTTCTCTGGGGAACATTTTCCGGCTGATGTAGGCAACTGGATGGCGGTCGTCTGGTGGTCCCTGGAGAAGCACCGCCCCCAGACCCCTGTCAGAAGCATCGGTTTGCAGAATAAAATGTTCATCAAAGTTTGGACTGTACAAAACTGGTTCCTTACTTAGTGATTGCTGGATGTCATGGAAAGCTGCCACGGCCTCCTCTGTCCACTGGATCTGGTTGGGACACCGAGATCCTGTCATGTCTGTGAGAAGAGCTGCCCTGGTGGAAAACTGTGGAATGAAGCGGTGGTAAAAGCCTGCCATGCCCAAGAAAGACCGAAGTTGCTTCCTTGTGTGTGGCAACGGACATGACCCTATGGCCTGGATCTTGTTGACTTGTGGCCTTATCACCCCATTTCCGATGCTGTGGCCCAGGTACTTTGTCTCTGCAGCGGCGAAGACACACTTTGATGAATTTATGGTCAGCCCGGCAGCGTGGAGACGATCCAAGACAGCATTCAGATGTTCCAAGTGCTCCTCCCAGGTGGTACTGTAAATGACAATGTCATCCAGATATGCAGCAGCAAAATCAGTAAAACCACATAATACCTGGTCCATGAGCCTCTGAAAGGTGGCTGGAGCCACCAAATGGCATGACCGAAAACTGGAAGAGACCCCACGGAGTCCTGAAGGCTGTCAGCTCCCTGGATCGCTCAGTGAGTGGAACCTGCCAGTAACCCTTACACAGATCTATTGTGGTCAAGTACTTTGCTTTCCCCAGTCGTTCCAACAGTTCATCAATTCTTGGTGTCGGGTATGAATCAAACTGAGAAATGGAATTCAGGTACCTGAAGTCGATGCAGAACCTTAGGCTTCCGTCCTTCTTTGGCACCAGGACCACCGGGTTACACCACTCACTTCTTGAAATCTCAATGATCCCCAGGGACAGCATCAGGTCTATCTCCTTCTTCAGTGAGGCCAGCAGACGTTCAGGAATCCTGTAACTAAGTCTCCTCACCGAAGCACCCTCCTTCATAACAATGTCATGTTCAACAATATTGGTCCTCCCAGGATTCTCCTGGAATACTTCTGAATTACAGATTTCTCTCACCTGAAGCTGCTTGTCTTCAGATAGGTGGTTGAGCTTGTGGTCTCCTGGAGCCCCAGCCGAAGGCAAGTACTGTTCATCCACTTCCTCCTCCTCTTGCACACCTCGGATAGGCATCACTTCTTTTCGTTCAGGTCGCGGCACCCACTCCTTCAGGAGATTTATATGAAGTGTCCTACTTGCCCGTGGCCGCCCTGGGGTTGCTACCTGGTATGTGGTGGGCCCAAGTTTCTTTAAAATCTCAAACGGTCCCTGCCACTTTGCCAGAAGTTTGTTGTCGTCACTGGGGAGGAGCACCAACACCTTCTGTCCCGAGTTGAAGGATCTCTGCCGGGCTGACCGGTCATACCAGGACTTCTGCTGTTGCTGGGCCTCCCTCATATGTGATTGGGCAAGCTCGCTCATCTTTTCAAGCTGCTCCCTCATCTGGACAACATAGGATATTACATTAAGGGACTCTCCCTTGCCCTTACCTCCCTCCCAAATCTCTCTCAGCAGCGAGAGAGGACCTCGTACTTCATGCCCGTACAAAAGTTCAAATGGAGAGAAACCAGTGGAGGCTTGGGGTACTTCCCTGTATGCGAACAGGAGATAAGGCAGCCACTGATCCCAATCCGTACCACTGTTGTTGACAAATTTCCGGAGCATCTGCTTCAGGGTCTGATTAAAGCGCTCAGTCAGTCCATCCGTCTGGGGGTGATATGGCGTGGTCCTCAGACTCCTTATGCCGAGTAACTGGTACACCTGTTTTAGCAGTATAGACATAAAGTTAGTTCCTTGATCAGTCAGTATTTCACAAGGGAAACCCACTCTGGAAAAGAACTGCACCAAACAGAAAGCGACTGATTTTGCTTTAACAGTTTTAAGTGGAAAAACGTCAGGGTATTTTGTAGCATAGTCTGTTATGACCAGCATGTACCGATTCCCTGATTTACTCCTTTCAACAGGACCAACAATATCCATTCCCAGGCGCTCAAATGGGGTGTCAATGATGGGTAAGGGTCGGAGGGGAGCCTTGGAGGGAGTTTTGGCCGATGTTATTTGGCACTCAGGGCAGCTTCTACAGAATTCAGCTACTTCTCTGCTTAGGCCAGGCCAGTGGAAATGCCGTTTAATGCGTGCTGTGGTTTTGTGCTTACCCAGGTGACCAGCCCAGGGAACAGAGTGCCCCATAGTGAGTACAATATGTCTGATTGCTTGGGGAACCACTAGCTGCAACACTGACCCCTGTTGGTAGTAGAGCATGCCATTTTGGTGAATATATTCATTTCTGTTGGAGTTTAGCCCAGCTCCTGGCTCCTTCCCCTCTGCTTTCTGAAAGAGAGACACTAAAGATGGATCAGCTTTCTGCATCTCAATTATGTTATCTGGCATTTGAAATCCTAGGGGTAACTCTGGCTCAAGATTGGTTGGTGGTTTCACCAACGTATGTTGGAACTTCTCCTGCCGTCTCTGTCTGCGGGTTTTCCGGGACTTCCCGGGTGCTGTCTCCAACTCATAATTGTAGAAGGGCAGGGCACAGAGAGTCTCAGAATAGTCATTGGATTGAATTGCCTGGGCTCTGGTAACAGCTGCATTACATTTTCGGCTTTGGTCTGACTCCAACAAATCAAACAGTACTGGAAGGTCTCTCCCCAACACCGCAGGAAAAGGTAAGCTATCAACAACTCCAATGTTCAACAGGTAAGTTTGCCCATCTACTTTTATGTACATGTCAGCTGTTGAATAGCTCTTCTCATCCCCATGTACACAACAGATAGGTATGGTGTCTTCTGTGCTGATTATGTTGGGGGGTACAAAATTCCTGTGCACAAGAGTCTGATCACTTCCAGAATCAAGTAGGGCCTTAATCATTTTCCCATTAACTTCAATGTGTGTCATTTTAATAGACTGGACCTTGTTGAGCTCAGGTTCATACTGAGTTCGTGGTACAAAGCACATCTGTGTCATGTTAACAGAGTTTTTAGGGCACATAGGTTTTGTATGGCCTTCAACCCCACAAAGATAACAGATTGGCTTCCTCCCTACGGGTTTTAATGGTCTGCTGGCTGGCTGGCTCTCCCTCATGGGAAACTTACCCACCCCAGTGCCTGGATGGTGGGTTGGTTTTCGATTGTCCTCTGCAGTTCTCCATGAGTGGTAGCTCCATGGTTGTCCCTTCTTTCGGGCAGCCACAAAGACGTCAGCCAGTCTAGCAGCCTCCATGGCTGAATCTGGGCCATGCTCTCGGACCCAGACCTGAAGCTCAGGAGACAACATTCTCAGATACTGCTCTAATATTATCACTTCACCAATTTCTTGGATGGTTTTACCTTTAGGCTGGATCCATTTTCCATAAGACTCCTTGAGCCTTGCATACAACTCCTTGGGGCTCTCATCAGGGTCCACCTCTAGGGAGCGGAATCTCTGCCTGTAGGTCTCAGGGTTAATGTCATATTTGGCAAGAATGGCTGATTTTACCTGTTCATAGTCAAGGGAGTCATCAATGTCCATATGCACATAGGCACCTCTAGCTTTGCCGGTTAGTAATGGAATTAACTGAAAAACCCAGTCTGCTTTTTGCCACCTGCATGCTACAGCTATACGTTCGAATGTAATGAGAAAATGTTCAATATCATCATTATCAGTTAATTTTTCCAACCTGGGCTTATGTTGTGAGCAAGACTGACCTGCAGAGGCCACTGTTTGAGCGATCATGGGCTCAGCTTGGTCTGACAGAGGGTGTAGGGTGGATGATTGAACCTCCATATCTGGAGGATCAGAGTCTGCTGAAAGAGGAGGTGGCACCAAAGATGTCCGGGCCTGAACTTCTAACTGCAACAGCTGAAACTGGTGTTGAAGAGCTTTAAAACGGTGTTCTTGTCTTGCAGTCACCTCATTCTGCTTTGCTTCTCGAGCCTCCTGCTGCCCCATGTGCTTCTGGAAAATGGCCATCATGTCAGACAGAGTTGGCTCCTTACCCTCCATGTCATTGCCCCCTCCTGAGGCCCCACTTTCTTCCTCTTCACAGGCTTTCTCCTCCTGAGCCACTGTTTGGCTTGTAGACACACCTGGTGTCGTTCCACCTCTTCCTCTTGTCATCTTTCTTTGGTGTTGGGAGCAGCAACTGGAGAAAAAAAAAAAAAAAAAAAAGAAAAAGAAAAAGAAAAAAAAAAAAATTCCAAAACTGCAAAAAGAGAGAAAAAATACAAATAAATCCTGTTTCCTCAACTGGATGATCCCACCACTGCCACCAATTGTCAGGGACCAAACAGTCAAGCAATGAGGAAAACCAGGAGTTTGTTATAGGGGTTTTTTATTTACCCAAAAATACCAAACAATAGAAACCAAGAATTTAACATCTTAGGCCTATAAAAGAGGTCAACAAAATATAACTATACTCAAAACAGCATACAACAGACAGAATATGAACTAAACAAACTGACCTGCCTGAATGAGACACAAAGGAACATATATAGTGGCTTGGCCAAACCAATTTACCCACAAGGTGAAAACAAAATGGATGCCAACTACAACTACTACAAGTAAAACAAACTAAACCCAAAATCCCCCTCCAACATGGCAGCACATGGTACGGCTTGATTGGTAGGCCACAGGATATACCCATCCTCCACCCTTGGCCACGCCTTTCCTCCACCAGGACAGACCTCATTGCTGGCTGTTACCCTGTGTGGCTTGGGCCATCACAATCACCAATGATGCTTTGGCAATCTAAAAGTCTGTTCCCCATGACAATAAAAGCCCCTTTGAATTGAATTAAACTGAATTTCAGATAAAAGTTATAGTACATAGTGCAAGAACATTTGGGGTGGGAAAGACATAGGCACCATTACCTCTCAGTTCTCTCATCAGCATTGTTATTGGTGACAAACTGAGAGACTAGCAGGTGAACATAGTGGAGCATTGAGCAGTTTAAGAGATAGAGTCAGTGGACACTAAAACAGAGCATAAACTAATTAAGTGCTCCAAATGAATGCTCATTTTGCTCTGTATCTGTTGGATGTGTAAAATGGCAACTCCTTGCTAACAAGTTCACATTAAATTTCATGGTGATAATATGGCAGTGTTGTGTTTATAGCTTGTTTTCACTGTGCACAACATTTTGAAGAAAGACTCATTTGCAGATAAAACGTTCATCTTAAATATACAAAATTAGTAAATGTATCAGCATTTTGCTTACAACTGCAACACAGTTCCTCTCCCCTATATGGATATTTCCAATAAAAATGATTATAAATCAGATTTTGTTGACTTTTTATAGGCAATATTTTCTTTCACTCTTTGTGTACACCCCTTTGTTAGACATGTTTTCTGTCTGTGTCTCTGTTGTATGTAGGCCAGGGTGACCACAGGGCTGATGAGGAGGTCGACAGGTGTCCCCCTGCCTTCAGCTGTGATCAGAAACACTCTCTGTGGTTTTTACTGACAAAATGCCTCACTGCAGAGTAGTGACACACAGCTTCAAACCAAAGAGCTACTCAATTTAGATGCACGTTCAAACTTTACCTGATTGATTACACAATGTAAGTAAGTGGTATACAATCACATGACATCACAACACACAGAAAAACATCACCACTTCTTCGTAAAGTGACCTGGTTTAAACGGCCACCTACCCACTGCAGAAAAATCCTTTAGCAGACACACTCACACACCTAGTTACACACTTCAGTATGAAACCTGTATATGGTTTGTGTATGGTTTATTCATCATACGGCAATGTTCTATGTGCTCTGTACGTATGTGTGATCTCAATCCAGCTCGAGATGTTAAATGTTCAGGAAACCACAGAGACACAATGACATTTAAGATCATATTTACACACACACACACACACACACACACACAGACACACACACACGTGATGAGCACATACTAGACAGGTGCCAAACTTTCTGCTTGATATTTAAACTTTTATATTTACTGCAGTAAATGCTGCTGTATATATTTAGATAAATACACTGTAATCAGTGCACTCAGTTCTCAGTTGTAAAAACGTGACACATGATTCAAGTTTGTTTTTTGACACATTATCAGACTGATTTATTGTTACTGTTGTGTGACCAGTGTTTTTGATATTTTATGAAAGTATTTGCTGTACTGTAAATAAGACTAAAACCCTGTTTGTATGTGTGTCATGAGGCCGTAATGTGATGCTTTGAGCTTCAGGCTAATGTTAGCACGCTGTCATATTTATATTGACAGTGCCAACATGCTGAAGTTTAGCAGGCATAATGATGAAAGAGTTTAGTTTTTCTTTGCAGGGAGAGTGTAAACTGATCAACATTACTATGTAGAAACATGAAGGTTCAACCCTATAAAAGGACCCATTCACTCATAAAAACAAGTAAAAACGGCTCATTCTTAGGTGCCAGTAGGTCCTCCAAAATGTTAAACACTGGACCTTCAAGAAATGACAACATTAAATCACATTACATTGGTACAGAGCAGAGTGAGCTGAGTGATACTTGTCATTCTTGTTGTACATTTAGGATGAAGTCTGTACAGTTTGGAGGCAGCAAATGACAGGTATTTATTGTAAGACAACTTACCAGCTTGAGACTGACTGTAACTACATTGTAAATCGTTGTGAAAAACCGTGTGAATCATGAAACTGATGAATTTTCCAGCAATCTTGAAAGATTCTTACTGACTTAAGAAGGTTGTTCTCAGTTTCACAATTCAACACTAAAAACTTTCACTGCTTTTCTAGACATCAATAGGTGTGAGACCCACTGTTCTAACAAGTAACAACTCATCTTGGTACATTGGGGACTGTTTTTAATCTTGGGCTACGTGAATTGACAGTAAATAACAAACAGCTGAGAAAATTGTCAAAAACAAGGTGATTTTCTTCATCCATTTCCAAACTTGCGCTCATGTCGTGAGAAAAAAACAACTGAAACCTCTTGTGTGTCACTTCCAGCTCAGGAGTTTGTTTTTCACTCATGTAGCATTTTAACTAAACTCGAAACGTTAATTGGGCCGTTGATTTTGTTCTGATTAGAGTACATCCTTTTTCCGATCATTATTTATCCAGAAATGTTCTGCTGTGCATGCAGGATTTTTATAGCAATGTCCTATTTCTATTTCTCACAGACGCACACATTAAAGTCTGACACACTGGAGCATCTCAGCCCCTCATTTGTTTGTTCAAGGGCACACTGACAGCAGTTTGTTTGCTTTCACTGTCAGATTCTCATTAGATTGATGCCTTTAAGTCTGCTTTTACAGTAACAAGTTTTGCTTTCTTGGCTCCTGAAAGTCTAAGACAAATGAATGTCATATAACACACATAGCTTTAAATCTAATTGTATCTAATTGTATAAAATAAACAACATTTGTACAAACTTTGCGCAGAGATTTGGAAGAATGAACACAATTAAAGAGTTAAAAATAGCAATCTTAAAGCAATTATAGTGCTAATACAAGAGAATAAAGTTTAAAGTGTGTCTTCTGGGCACAGTTCATCAGTAATTTTTTACACTAAAATATATATTTAACTTTTAAATACCTCAATTAACGGAAACCACAATTCAGGATATATCTGTGCTTACTGAGCACACCTTAGAAATAAATCAGCACTTCTTCCAACTTTCCTCCGAAACTCCATGTATAATGAAATCAGGGCCATAATAGAAACCACATGACTGAGGTGGCTCAAAAGTGAATAAACACAGTGGCATGCTGTGTGTGTGTGTGTGTGTGTGTGTGTGTGTGTGTGTGTGTGTGTGTGTGTGAGAGAGAGAGAGTATAAATATAGGGCACGGGAAGACACGGAGGAAATGTTTGGCCGTTAATGCAACTTTGCAGCCATTATTTTCCAAGGAGAACACTTCCTTACACACACACACACACACACACACACACACACACACACACACACACACAGCTTCTTCCAGCTCTACAATCTTCCTTTTGCCTGGAAAGTAAGAAGGGCACAAGAACAACAATTCCAAAACTTTTCTTTTTTTCAGTTTTAGTTTTTCCTCTTTGGAACAATGTCCAACTCAGGGGAAATATTTTTCTTAGTGTAATAAACTTTTTTTTCCCTGATAAAATGTGTCAAATGTGATGTTCCTCCTGTTCCACATAAATTACCCAGATTTGTAATAATAAACAATAAGATTATTCACACTGCAGCCCCTACCACCGAGTCAATCCTTGCATGCAATGCTACTGTTAACTGTGAAGCATTGACTTATGCCTCCTCAGAATCTCTCATAAAACGCAGGTTTATTGATGTTCTAAATGTATGTATTTTCTGCCTGTCTCCACCTTCAGCTCTGTGAGAGCAGAGAATGTTATTTTGCCCCATGGAGGGCCTGAGAGTAGAGAAACATCCACGGGCCATGCATGCGTTCCTCACATTCTGAACCAAAACCACATGGTGGGTTTAGCCCTAATGATATTTGGATGACTTGCATAAAGGGCATCCAACATCCAATCTAGACAAGTGGGCACAGAATCAATAGAAAAGAAGGGAAAAAAGGGTCCTCTCTCTTTCGCCTTCTTTTTCGCTTTCAATGCATAGCATGAGCTTCACATTACTGATCCGACTGCATCGTTTTTTGCTTTCTCTTCTCATCGTGACTGGGCTGTTTAGTTTGAAATAAAACTCTCTCCCTGTGTCTCTGTCTCTCACACACACTCGTACAAGAGATATGCACACAGAAAACAACACGCCCTTGTTATTACTGGAAAGTCACAACTGACATCCCCCTGCAGGCGGATATGTGCCAACTAAACAGCCATACCCCAAGCTAGGGCGCAAAAATAAAACACTCTTTATTATGCCACTGGCATTCTTAGCAAAGTTACATTTTATACAGAGGCAGCGGTCTATCAGTGCGCACATGTGCTGCTCACAACTGCAGTATCAGTGTCTGATAATATGAGGGCACCACCCATTAGTATTTATACCCCCACAGACATAAATAAATGTCCTTTTGGTCCACCCTATTGTGCGTATACACTGAGGCCACTCTGCAGTGCGTGTGCATGTGTGTGAGTGGATGTCTTTATCTGCTGCCCATGACTTGTCTCTGCCTCGCCCAACCTCAACTTTACAAAGTCACGTACACTAGTGTTCCAAGAAACTGTCCTGGTGCAACCCCTAATCACTTAGCGCACAGTTCGGTGCCGCAAGAAGGAGCAAAAACAGGAGCCATAGGGGAGATCATATTATGAAAAAGAAATGAACACCCATGACATGTTTAAATTTTAGCATCCTGAATCAGATTCTTAGGTGATGAACATTAAGGGTTCATGGGTATCTTTATTATTAAGAGCAATGTGTTATACAGCCAGCAGAATATACATATTAAACATCAATGGACAACAAACAATAGACAACAACCAATGTGACGATAAATAAGTAAAGCTGCATTAATTGATTTTTTTGGAGAGGTAAAACAAACTGTGGACCAAACACTGACATATTATCACCTTATAAAGTTGCTGTGGCAGACTTGTTAGCCAACAGTTGCCTATTTACATATACGGCAGACACATAGCAGCATTATCATACATTTGGAGTCATGTTTCTACCTGAAGAATGTCAGTCCAAAAGCTGCATAGTCAGCACAAACTCCTGAAGAAAACATCAAACTCTCCACTTTGTTCTCCAGCTAGTCTCTAACTCTTTCTGTTGGGTCTCTGGCGCTGGGCATGTAGTATAAAATGGGTTTTAGGATCTGGTTTTTCACACACCGATGCTGTGCATGTGAATGTGTATGAACGCATTAGTTCCTTTTCAATCACTGAGTGAATGTGTGTGAAAGGGCGAATGTGGCATGTAGTGTTAAAGCGCTTTGAGTGGTTGGAAGACTAGAAAGAGCAATATACAAGTACAGGTCCATTTACCATTTTACCAAAGCTGAGCACTGGAAAAAAACATTTAACAAAACACTGACCTTAAAGATGCTGAAATGCGCTATATAGCCGATGGGAACGGCAGACTTAGGTGATAATTTGTCACTATGAGCGTCCCCTTTCACGTTACACATCAATGTTTATATAAAAATATTGATTAGTGTAGACTAGTATGTAGGATTTAATGGCATCTAGCATTGAAGTTACAGATTGCAGCTTACTCTCTTCTCCCTCCCATTCCAAGCGCAGAAGAGGAGAAACTTCAGTGGCTGAGAAAAACATGAACACGCCTATCTAGAGCTAGTGTTCGGTTCGTCCCTTCTGGGCTACTGTAGAAACATGGCGGTTCAACATGGCAGACAGCCTGGAAGGCAACCCACAGCATCTGTAGTTATAACAGGCTCATTCTTAGGTAACAAAACCATAACGTTTCCTATATTCAGGTGATTATACACCAATTAAATATAGTTTCCAAAATTATATTCCATTTGTACAAATAGATCCTCCTAAAGGTTACACACTGGACCTTTAAAGAACGTATGAAATTAAATTGATTTCTCCGATTTTTCAGCAATAAACCAACTGGACCTGATTTCCCTCAGTGGAAAGAAAACTGTGAGATTTGAGTGAATGTACTGACTGGTTTTAGAACAACTTTCTGTATAAGTCAACCTGTATAAGTGTACTAAATGTACTAAATCATAAAAAGTACAAATCAGAATCACATGAATGCAATCTGGCCTTTTTCTTAACAGAACCATTTCACATGTGGTCTTTCTAAATCTGCACTGTCGCTGGTTCACCTTCACACACCTGAATGATGCATGAGACTGCTACTTGTCAGTAATGCTTATTATCTATGGAAATATGTGCAGCCAGAAACACATCCCCTGTGGAAAAGTACAGAATGTTCAGTTTCTCGTTGCTCTGTTGTGAGATAATGCAGCCAGAAAGTCCTCACCTAAGGGATGTTGCTGCAACCAGAGCCTCTCTTTTCCTTCATCTAACCTCTTGCACATACACAACGGCTCAGCAGACCGCACGAGCGCAACCTTATCAGCAGGCAAAAGAAGTGCCTCTGCTCCGTACCAGGGCTGACAATTAACTGTCGCACAATGACTGGATTTCTCAGATAATCTTTTATTTGTTCCTCCTGCACATCACAACTCGTGCAGTCTTGCTCCATACATGACAAGCCAGTCAGATGTGAACTGAGGTGAGCTCAAATCTCTTCCGACATATTGTACATGTATCAGATATATCTACATACATACCTGCTGTGTGTTCACCAGCGCTGTTGCGTTTCCCGACACAGACCACAGCTCTGTGGTGAGATTGTCCAGTATGACCTAAATGATCAAACTGTTTCTGGAGGACCTCAGCATTGTATCAGAGAGGTCATTAGGTCAATAAGGACATGAGGGCCATGGTGCAGGCACATGATATGAGACACTGTGCCCTCTGGTGGCCGAATGATAGCATGAAAATAAATACAGTATTAAAAAAGACCGTAGAAAACTTAAAAGGAGAACATTTATAGGAAAAAGTATTTGTGAGTAAAACAGAGACAGAGAGGATTTACAAGTCATATTTTATATATCATATATAAATATGTTCTTTTTCTATATATCTATATCTGATGCACACTGGAATGTGAAAACAGAAAATCTAATGTTACTTGAAATAAGAAACCGTAACACTGGGCATTTATGAATGGAAATAATTAGCAACAAAGGTGAAATATCTTAAGAACTATGTTTTTAGCTTGAACCATAAACTCCAATGTTCCCATTTCACCTTTGTTGTGTCATTGCCCATCTCTCTATTATATATATATATATATATATTATTCTATTGTATTTTATTGTATTTTAATGTACCTGGCTGCTACGATGACCCAATTTCCTTCCGGGGATTAATAAAGTCTCTCTCTCTCTCTCTCTCAGTTATCAGATAAATGCATAAAATACACCCACAAATACTAAAAAAGAACTGTTATCAGATAAATAATCCCCTAGAACAAATATATATATAAATATTCATACTCAAAGAAAGAACAGGTTGTTCTTGTAATTTAGAAGATTGTAACCAGCGCACTGTACTTTGATGTGTTGCACCCTCATTTGTACTTTAGACCACCTTATTTATTTTTTATATTTATTTATTTTACTGCACTTGTATTAGTATGTATGTAAACCTTATTTCACTGTGCAGTGGTGACACACACAGTGGTACCAGGGATAGGCATAGCAGACCTAAACTGAGTCGAAAATGGAGCCAGAGATAAGGAGTCGCTCCAACTTTTTAAAAAATCTGCTTCCCACTCCATCCAAAATCCTCCCACTCCACTCCACTCGTGCTCTGGTTTACACTATCTACATCAAGCACCTTGAACATCATTTACTTTGAGATGAATTAAGTTCTACCTTATCTTATATTATATTGCTTTGAAGACATGGTGATTGGGTATCTACTGGGAGTCAAACCCTCCTATTTCATCACAATAAGGTAACACTTTTTTTTTATGTTTTCATGGCTCTGCCCAGTCTACTACGTAAACTGTGCACATTCATTTCTTATAACAATATAAAGCAGTTTCCAAAGACAACAAACAGCATTTGATCACGTCAATAAAGAACATTGAACTGACAAAAGTGACATATTAAAGAGATGTTAAAGATATTTGCAGAAGATCTGCTGTAAAATATTAACGAATATATGAAAAACAAATCACAGAGAAGCCCACTTCTATGTACAACTGTTTATTTTTGATTTGCAAAACATCTGACAAAAATAACATTACATAAACACCAATTTATAATAGAAAAAGAAGATCTTTGAAAAAAAAGAGACAAAAAGATAAATTGCAATTACATTAGAATTTAAGTGACTTTTTTGATAATTGGAGCCATATCATGCTGACCTACACAGGCAGTTTATGGCAAGTAGATTCATCAGTATGCATGTGTTACAAACATTACATTAAGTGCTTTTGTTGGTTCAGGCATTTTAATTGAATGTGGCATGATTTGGGTTCACAATGCAGGGTGAGAATTCAATGCCAAATTCAAATTTACTCCTTATAAAAGATCAATACACATGGCTGTACTCTCACTAAGAAAGAGGCCAATCTAATACTCGGACAACCTTCTCACTCATATTAAGCTGGGGAACATCTGAAGCCAGCTTCATTAACACCCTCCCCTGCATTAAAAGGGTCATACTATGGCACACAGCTCAGGGTAGATGTGACCATGGCAACATTGTTCCTCAGTATTCACTGATCAATAAAAACTCTCTTATTTCATTCAGTGTTTACCTGAAGCAGTTTGACATGAATACAAAAAAACTTGGTTTAAATTCACCAAAGTGAGTAGTTGCTCTGTTAATATGATAATAGAATCCAAAAGGAATTTTTTTTTTCTTCCAATAAGCACCACTAAGTTGCGTTCATTTCAAAAGACACGGTCTTCCAATGAGGCAAATGTCGCCCCAATGAGGGGCCAACATTTTGGACGATGCCTGCATTATGTAGTGTCGATAACACACGACTTGGTGATGCTTGAATTAAAAAGCAGCATTGCATGGATACTGAGGATTTCACTTCTCCTAATTCCCCTTCTTAGACCAAACATCGTCAGGGAATGATGAAGGTGCGGGAGCAGACTTTAGGACAGAAGGAGAGGTGAAGACACAGAGAGGGTATGGAGGAAATGGCAAATAAGAGGGACATGGTAAGGATGGTGTACTACAGAGCAAAGACCATGCTAACAGTACCAAGCGGAGCACAAACACACCTCTTGTTTCTCCTCCTGCCACAAAGTCTTTCAGGTTGTTCCTTCTTTTACAACTGCATTCACTCCGTTAAAGTTCCCCCCCTTCAGTTTGCCCTTCAGAACTACAAGGATGAGGAAGATATCAGCAACACAGGCAACAAGATTAATTGCATCTGCTGCTGAAAATTACCGAGATATCCCAAAGGATAGAGCAAAAGGACAAAGATACAGAGAAGGATTTTTTGGGGGATAAATGCAGCCTCACTCTCGCCAGTCTGAGCCCTGTTGGTCAGAGTGCAGGCACTATATTAAAAACACTCCTGGTATTTTGTGCGTAAAAAAAAAAAAGGCAATGCTAAGTCTGAGAAGAAAAAAAATGTACAAAAAAAAACCAACAAAACAAACTATGAACTATGAATGACTTCATTAGCTGGACTCTCCCAAATCTGTGAGATATCTCTGAGGTAATCATTGAAGTATGACTCATTAGACAGCAATAAATACCAACATGAATACAAATATTACAAAAGTAAAAACAGAGGCAAATGCTTAATGCTAAAGCAAAATCTGAGCTAAAAGAGGTAGGTTTTTTAGGTAGATTATGGTGTACATCCATGTGGACACTCCTTTTTGTAAGAACTACATTAAGTTGATTCCATTACAATCCCTGTCCTAATGGGAAGAACAAAAAAATAAAAAATAAAGACTTTGCATGGGAGATGGCCAACTGTTTTCTATGAATGATACCATACATGTTTTTACAGACAGGATTTGTAATGGTAACAGTTATACAAAAAACTTCAGAAATGTTTACTAACATGAAATTCTGTAAAGCTTGCTGGTGATAGTGTACCATAAGTTGTATATTGCAGGCATTGTTAACGTGTTATGTTGCCAATATTGAGGGAAATCTCACCAAAGATGAATCCATCTAATTTGTGGGAGATTTCCGTTTACGTATAGTTTTCAAGTTCCAGTATTTTAACAACCACAATGCAGAGTTAAAAACTTACGGATTCTGAGCAGCCTACCGTGGTAAAAACCAAACAGGAAACTCTGGGGATGCACCATATTCAGATCTAACTGTATTTGCATGTTATGTACAGGATGTTGGGAGGGGAATTGAATGGGATAATGGTCCTAAAAACAACATTTAGTCATATATTCAAACATAAAAGGCTAACAGGGGGTTCCCTCCTTATGATAAAACCTAAAGTAAGGTAATCTCCCCGACTCTATGCGGTACTGACCAAAATCTACTTCGTTTCATGATACATCCTCAAGACTCTTCCTGTTCAGTTTTCAAAATCCCCAAGAGCAACTCCTCTTTTACCCTGTTTGTGTGTGGAGGGAACTCTTCCCGTGGCACTTACATGTTCACCAAACCTCCCACTGTATTAAACATACACAAATCAACACTGCATCTCTATCTCAAACACAAAATAGAACAAAATCAAACCCATATCTACATACAGAAGTATGTATTCAGAGAAAAATCAACATGGAGACTTTTCAAAACTTCAAAAGTCAGTGTTCAGTAACCAAGCACATCATACCGCTCATCAAACTGACATACTATACATATGAGTGGTACTGCCTAAAGACACTCGAGCCTCAACTCTGTGAAGTTCAATCACAGCAGGGAGATTTGTGGGACACATGGAATTATATTTATTTATATATATTTATATACACTAAATAATCCCAATGATTTTCGTGAAGAAAACCAAACTTATTACGATTACGTGAATATGGAAACATCCAAAAACGATTTAACGATCTGTGCTATGCATCATCTACATGTCCATCCCCGACTGTCAGCTTTCAGGGTGTCACAGTGACTGAGGACGAGTTGGAATAAAGCCACAGTGATGGAGAATGGACTTAAAATCCTATGGTAGGTTAAAGAAAACCCCATGTGGGTTGAACAAATTAAAGCAGCACAACAACAAACATATGCTCTCTCTCTCTCTCTCTCTCTCACCATCTTCCTCTAAGATCACAGAGTAACTCTGGTCTGCTGAGATGAAGGAGGCTCTTGGTCTGACATAGGAGGCCCATATGGCCGATCACAGGAACCATTTTAATAGATATCTTCTGTCACGCCGAAATTAGAAGACAAAAACAAACTTCGAGACTTTTGTATCTTCTCTGTAAATTATTTCCTTTAAGCCAAGTTGCCTTTAGTGAGATCATCTGAACTTGATAGATATTTGACTTCTTTGGGGAACTGTCTTGAATTTAAAAAGACATGTCTTCTCATATATATATATATATATATATATATATATATATATATATATATATATATATATATATATAATTACTGTATATATTTTTTTAACCATAATCCCACATGCAGCACGCCATACATTACTGGCCTCTAAACCTAAGCATTTAAATTCTCTTGGTAGTTTGGTTTATAAGCCATTAGATGCTGTCTGATGAAGCATAAGCCAAAGATGACAGCAGAGAGAAGGCATATGAGTTCCTATCATAAAGAAGCTTATCTTCCAAAAGCCATGGATGAATAGCATATGAGTTTAAGAGATTATATAATGAGAATATCCATGGCTCTGGAGTCATTTCGATGTACTGTAATGTATCAGGTGCATATCTAGCTTGGTGATCTATATGGCTTATATTAGAGAGCAGCACGGTATGTTTAGCTTGTCCTCTGTCTGAAAATGAACCTTGGGAATTAGGCGAATACATCAACCCACCATTAAACAAATAATTTGACTGAGTCAAATATACAAGCAATCCCTGTTTAAGCCAATTCTAACTCATTCTTACCATATAACATGATCAAAGTCAAAACAAAGAGCATAGTGTCTCAGACGTAGTGATAATGAATCAAAAACAAAAAAGGGTCAATATTGTGTTTGCATATATATTTCTGAAAAAATTAGCCTTGAGAAATATCTATGTAGCCCTATGTACAGCGGAGGACATATTATATATATACCTGGTATTTACACAATGCAGCCACTAGAGGGCTGCGCAGCATACATCATCAAACAGGAGGGCCTGGATGTAGAGGTGCGCACCACTGCAACCAGGCCCTCAGACATTCTAGAAAATCCACTTCCCCCAGAAATGAAAGGGGTGTGATATCTGTGGAGGTCTGAAGCAGCTTCCCAAGCTCTCCGCCCACCGAGCTCACGGTTTACTGAGGAGGAACAATTCATGGAATTGTTTTTAAAGGTGAAATGACGTATAAAACAAAACGCATCCGTTGAAATTACATCCATGTCTAGGCCCCTTGCTTTGGCCTCGAGTTACTATTCCAGTTAGATTTGGCATCTTAGCCCTTTAAAATCTGTGATAATATAGATACTGTATATCAATACATAGGCTTGAGTAAAAGGTGGTATAACAGTGCTTAGGATACATGTGGTAGTAATTAACTATTTACAGGGAAATAAACAATTAAACGAAAGAAAAGGAGAAAGAAAAAACAATTTTAAAATAGAGTGACAAGCCATAATGCAGGCTTGGCGTGATTGACAGTTAGCAGTGTAAAAAGTAGCTAACACATTTAGTGGCTAATTCTCACCTCAAAACCAGGCACCCCAAAGTCCTATCAAAACCTCACTAAAATTACAGACTATGTTCTGGACTCCGCAGTAATCCTAAACAATGACATTTTCCTTCATAGGCTGTGAGGCAGACAACTTGCTAGCATGTCGAGCGCCTGCATGCGTGAACTGAGCCATGGAGCAGCAAGGTTATTTTTAGGTATTGGAAGCTTTTTGAGAAAGTAGTTGACCATACCTTTGGTGAAAGGTGAAAGGCATGTGTTTGATTTGTATACACAGTCATATACACACGTTTTGCCTTGGAGAGAAGCAGATGAAAAACCAAAATAAAGGATTTCTGAAACATCAAAAATTCTAAGTAATGTGCAGGCACTGCTTTTGCACTGTCATCCGTACTGTATCTAAATTGTTCTGTGTATAGGTTACTGTTTCACATAGGTGATGTAAATATAAAACAACCCCAGTAAAACCAAGAGGTAGCTCAACTGAATGGCTAAATGAATAACTGAGTATGCTTGTTGTGTTGGTGTGTGCACGTCACGTACACACACAAAATGTCCAGGCATTTGAAGCAGCTGTTTGTTGATTTAAATACAGACAAAACACTGTATATAGGCAGAAGTTGTACTGTGTGTATAGTTTAATTTGTATTATATGAAGTTTCCTTGTTAACTGTCTCTCTTAATATCTGCTTGCTATCCACACAACCTTGGCCTTTAAACCGAGATAGACTTCTTTTGACGAGACAAACATGAAACCACACACCCAACACATGCACGCAGACACAGACATACACACACACCACTTTCTCTCTTCCACGTGCTTCATACTCCACACCTCCATTTAGTCCATCCAGCACATCCATAGCTCTCTCCCTCCATTTTTACACCCAGGGCTCTTGTCTCCAGCTTCCTCTCTACCGCTGAGGTTTCAGAGGCAGCCTCTAGGAGACTTCGCTGCCGAACACCTCCAACACCAGCGGGGTGAGCTGCATGCTGTGCTCCGGCTGGAAGGAGAGCGAGCGGTACTGTTTGGAGTGCTCCTCGTTGAGGCTGCGCAGGTCGGCCAGCTTCTGGATCATCTTGGCATAAAGCAGCCGTCCCCCTGGGTGGTGAAGCTGAATGTAGGCCTGCAGGGTTTCTGACAGTCGGTCTTGGAGGATTTCGATCCGTGCGTGATCCTGCACACCTGGGCGATCTGCAGGAGAGGAGATTAGGTCTTACGATATTAATGGCTGTCACACAAGCTAAAAAGTGGCAGAAATTAACTGTTAAAATGGAAATGTTACTGGAAAACTGAGGATTTGAAAGTTTGTGTTTAGGTTGATTTTGAAATAATATTATAATATACAAGTCCAACTGTAAATTAACATAAAATTGTATAATCTTTATGTTTGTATTTCTACCGTTCTGGTCAGGTGGCTTGCTAATTTTAGATCAGGGAGAGCACATCTCTGCATTGTTAATGAGGTGCCTCACATACACAAAGGAATGCAAATATCTACTTAATCACACATGCTTGCTTGCTTGCATAACTGTACATGTATAATGTATGCACTGTATCTTCTGCAAATGCATACCACACACGTGAATCTGTGTTCAGAAAGATACAGAGAGATACATGAGAGACACGAAACCCCTTCAAGTAGCTTAGACCTGCACCTAAATGTGATTCATGTTGTTTATCAGATAAAAACAATCCTTCAAATGAACTCTAATTAAAATGTTTAAGTTGATCTTTTGCCACATAAACACTATAATGAACATATTGTCTGTTGGAAAAAAAGATGCACGTAACATCACTCGTGAAGAATATATGATGACCTCTATATGTTCCCTCCTCCACACAATCAGACCTACGGTACCTGGAGAAAGCAAGCAGATGGCCATCAGCAGCACATGTTCCTCCTCTTGCAGGTTGAGCTTCTTCAAGCCCACCTGGAACTTCACCAGCGGCTCCAACAGCTCCAGAGTGTGGCCCGCTATAGAGGACGAAACATCATTAGAACCAGCTCCATACTAAACCACACAAGAAATGACCCTTGGGAACGTTACCATCCCTCTTACTAATTAATATTTCATTCTGCATGTTGGAATCATCTCTGGAGACGGTTTTCTTTGCATGCCGTGCGTTCTCAGGTTTGTTTTTTACTAAAAACTAAAGGCTGAGAATTTATTTCATCAGCAAATTTGAATTCGGATGAGTGTATACGCTATTTCTCACGCTGGGGCTGTGTATTGAACCTCAATACTGTCTGAGCATTGATGAAATTCTGCCTGTAGCATGGAATATGTGCGCCAAATGCTTTTTGAGATTATTAATCTTTGTAATTTGTTCTAATTGAATAATAACTTACTTCTGTACTGCATTTTAATTAGGCACTGGTCTTGTACAAGTGTTTGTGTTGAGACAATATTAAACACTGATGCATTTTAAAGATTTGCTTTTTAAAAAAGGGTTTGAAGAAGAAGTTTTTCCTGGAAAAAATGTTTTTACTAAACAAATGAAGGTAGTGAATTGGACATTTTTAATGATACACAGCAGTAACTGCCTGTTACATAAAATCTTTCCAATGATCAACCACTGAGAAACAGGGGGCAGCATGTATTTTAAAAACTTTTTTATTTGTCTTGATCTAAAACTTGTATACTATTGATTACTGCATGAGAAAACACATCTGTATTCCAGTCATGTTCATGTCAACTATTCATGGTTATTTTAAGAAGAGAAGCACAACAGAGCTGCTTCTCCTGGTCCAGACAGTGGTTGTTTTGTGTGGTGAACAGGTCAGGAGTGACATTCTTTCGCTGATCCCAGAGAGAGGGGTCTTGTTTGAAAGGCAAATGAAAGCCATGCCCACAGGGGCTTCTCTGGATATGTAAGACTGGTTTCTCAGAAAAACGTGCTTTAGCATCCTTTTCCTATGGGTGTGTGCACACGCTGCTGCCAATAACCTTATCTGTACTCCCACACTAATGATCCAGTCACCTCTTTAACACAGGGCTGCTTCCTTCAAGCTCTGAGTAGTGTTAATGTGTAACATACACTTCTTTTCTTCAGCTACCAGCCGAGTAAAATTAGTTTACAAGCATTCATATACATAACTCTAAACACTAGCTTGTCTTCACAGCAGTCAAACTGTACACGTGACAGTGCTTAAACTGACCTTTGGTGACATCACTGATCTGGTATTTAAAGTCAGGCCCACCACAGCTCCAGGACATGTCTTCCAAGTTGAAGCTCTGATTTGAGCGCAGCATGATCACCTCGATGGCGCTGGACTTGAGCAGAGCAATCTGGTCCTCTGCAGTCAGCTCCCTGCAGAGAAAGATATCACCTACTAAGTTAGTGAACTACAAATAGTGAGCTATCAAATAATAATGATAATAATAATCTAATCGTTCTCAAACAACAGTAATCATGTAGTGTTGATCATGTCGTGTTTAATTTTACAGGAAACTGAAACAGCAACAGGTAAACCACTAAGTTCAAACCAAGTACCTGCCCATTCTGCATGTTTATGCGTGCGTTAGTTGTATAATTCACTTCAAAGGATTTTGCTTATCAATGGTTTACTGACTACGTGTTCGAGGTCAGTCAAAGTCTTCAAAGTTTATCAGATATATGCTGTGCAGGAAGAAAAATAAACATTGTTTTATTTCCTCCTGCTGTGATGGGTCCCTGTGTATGGAAAACACATTTTATAAACAAGTCACACTAAAATCCTACATCAGTAATGTTATGAAATGAGTTTAAATGTTTATAAAATGAAGCTACTGAGCCTGCAGTAGACATGAGCTGAAACCTGCAGATCTTTAGGGTAGGTCTGTGCTAGGAGTGTTATTCAGGGCTTAGGCAGCAGATCATAAGTGGACAAACATTCCAAAGGTAATCCGACCACGTCCATCACTCGCCGCCAGTGGGAACGACAACTTTCAGGAAATACAGGCCCCAACTCGTTTTAGCCTTGACTTTGGGGTGACCCTCGAGACACTGAGCATGTCAACACACTGACAGACAAACACGTTCGCTAAAAGGCAACAGTTGCCATGTGTGGAAGGTAGGGAAGAAACAATGAAAAGGCCTCGACTTTACAGTAAAATAATGTGCCTTTAAAGCCTCATAATAATCTATTTACTCTATTCAATCTCCAAGGTTAAGATATTGTATTCTCCTTCACTTCTATTTACGAATCACCCTTATACCATATAAGACTTTTTAACAACAGACATTCCTTCCTCTAACAGTTCCTGTCTATCACGTGCTCTTTAAAAAATGTCAGATAGAAAACCTGAGGGTGCACATGACAGACAGACGGGTGACTGCTCAGTACTAAAGTGTTGCTCTGAGGTTAGGCAATCACCTACTAACATAGTCAAAGAGCTGAACCTCACACTAAGAACATGACCGTGGCAAATGTATAACCTCGTCCAGTGAAGGAACAACACAACATAAAAGATTTTCCACAGTGTTTCAGCTATCTGTAATATACAGTCTATATACGGCCTTTAGACGACAGTCATTACTGTGGCACAATATCGACTAATCGGGCAGAAAAACAAGTAGGTGTACAAAGTCTTCAACACACATTTAGGTAAAAAGTCACTCAGAGACATGTAAATAAACAATACATGAGGAGGAGTTCTTAAAATTCTGGTCATACACTTCTGTTTAGGCAAAGATTTTACCAGACTTCAGTATTTGGTTTCATAAGCATGTCTATTATATATACAAACAGAAAATCAGATGAATAGAAAGTCCTTGGACTTTGAAGCTCAGAAAATATGTACTGAACATCTATATATAGGCCAAATAAATGTAATTATTATAAAATAATTATTTCTGCTAACAAAATTTTTTTCTTGCCATCTTACATTGGTCATTGTGAATTTGATAAGACAACATTTTTTGCAAGCCCATATGCATAGGAGTCAAATTCTCCAGATAAGGCATGTTTGGTTTCAGGCTAGCATCAGTTGTTAACAACTAATGCAGAGTGACAGAGTCAAAACTATGACAGACAAAATGTTCTCTACACTCACACACATACCTGAACCCAGGGATCATCTTGGCAAAGCCAATAACCTTCTGGATGCTATAGGAGACCAGATCAGCCAGGTGGGGCAGCATGGAGAAGCTGGAGCCCTCCTCCTCGCTGGAGTCAGGGCTGCTGCCCTGCTCATGGTACATCATCAGCAGGTTGTTGAAGTTCATTTTGGTGTCTACAGACTCTGCAGTGAAGACAACAGAACAAGAAGATGCAAGAAGAGGAAAGAGAAGAAGAAAGCAGAAAAGAAGGGAGAAAAATGGTCAAAAGCAGAACGACAATGCCACACTATTCCTCCATGAATAGACACACACTGTCCTGGGAAAACCGAGAGAAATCATGGAATAGAGAGGGCTTGTTGATGGAAATGATCATCTGAGTGTCAGGTCAGTAGGCGTGAGATGAAAGCTTAGATGACAGCTATGACAACATGCTAGCTGGGGTTGTTTTGAGTCATTTGTCTCCGCTGAGTGTTGGCGGTAGGCCACGTGACCATGTTCCTCGCTGTGTTCACTCCATTAGTGACGGATACATTAATGAACTGATGTTTACTAGTAGGAGTCAGGTGTCTGGGGAGAATTGTTCACAGAATTTCCACTGAATTCTCAGTAAAGCAGCGTAACAGATTATATAAGCCAACATGCAAACAGCTGACCTGGAAAAAATACCCGTCTTAAGTCAAATATGAACTCTTTTGATATTTTTGTCAAAACATGCCTGCTGATTGAGATGGTTTCACTTTCTATTAAAAGTTATGTTGTTTCTTTCATAAGTCAGTTATAATTATAGTGAGGTGACAAACCTTATTCTTCCTTGCTTCAATATAGGATTTGTTTCTAGAGGATTCCTACTAAAGGGTCACTAGTTTAGTCCCTAGTCACTGTTTTCACTCGATTTCAAGTGAAGTCTTCAGAGTGTGTCTATTACCTGGAGAGTGACTGAAGGAGTCAGAGGAGGCATCAGACAGAGAGTGGAGAGAGGCAGCTCTACTGGCGCTTCGCGTCACTGGGCCCTCACGCACAGGAGGCTAGACAGGAGAAAAGGGCACATATAAAGACCCTGGTGGATTCTTAAAGTCACGTCACCAAAAATAAAAAACAAAAAGATAAGCCGGAGTGGAAGTGGAAATTATTGATGGCGAGGATAATCTTTTACATTTATGCAGTACACAAATACATCTCACTTCACACTCTTCTTTTAAATACAGCCGACCAATTAGAGGTTATAATTCTGATTGTCATCCACAAATACAGAATATGCTGTTTTGTTGAGTATCGGCTGAAAAACTGGGATTTAATTACTGGACTTGAGTATGGGTTTGTGTGTGTTTTGTGGGGATGGAAATCTGTTACAGAATGGACAGAACACTACAGGTTAGATCTATGTCAGGACAGAGGTGTTTGAGTTTCCGAGAAGAAATGGACCACTGGGTGTGAAATTTCTGTGTAAACAATATAAAACTTGAGTAAAGCTAAAGCAGAAACACATTTTGACCTAAGGAACATTGAAATGCTGCGAGGTTAATGCAAAGATTGCTGTACTAATTTTAAAGTAAAATCAATATTGTTATCTAAAGCAGCATAATTGTTTCTACTGGTCTAACAGAGTGGTCAATCTTAACCCTATCATAACAATATCAGCTGTATTCCTTCACATGAAACCTGTGTTTTTGATGTATGAAATCTGACTGCAAAATGATGATATTATAGTAAGAATAACTGTTGATGAGATTTACTGTATTAAGACACAAACCCTGAAGCGGCAGAAGTCAGAGTAGGAGTCGTCATATGTTTTGTGGTGCGCCTCCACCAGCGTGGCAATGACCTGACTCTGTTCGTCAGTAAGCCGGGGCCGCCGCGCCTCCCTCTCCGCTTCACGCTGTGCTTCCTCGTCCTTCCTCCGTTGAATCAGGTCCTTCTTTCTCTGCACTTCCTCATCTGTCAGAATGACTGAGGGTGCAAGTATAAAGAGACAAAGAGGGTTAGAATTATACACACAGGCGTGCACAGAGGAAAAATAAACTTTAGAAAAAACAAGCATGGAGAATACAGTCTTTACATAAGCTAAAGCAGAGTAAAAGCGGGGCAACAAGTAGGGAACAATGAGTTTCAGATAACAAGGTACACAACTTTTAAAGCTTTCCAGTATTTACTTGTGTTTTAAATTGTGATGACAGCTATGTCAATGTAGTGTTGGGGTTGGGGGGGGTTGTTATTCTCTTGCGGAAGAGAATGGGAGGGGACGGGTCCATATGGAGACCCCTGCTGCACTGAACAAGTGAATGCATTGTCTTTGTTCTGTTCGCTCCTTGTTGTTCTAGCCACTGAATTAGCTCACAGAGAGAGAGAGACAGGGAGAGAGAGAGAGAGAGAGAGAGAGAGAGAGAGAGAGAGAGAGAGAGAGCTGGGTATCAACAACACGCTGCTGTTTTTGCAACGGCAATGCCACTGGCTCCTGTTCACGTACAGTAAATCGCAGTGTCTGTGCCACCACTCTTGTGGTATTCCCAGAAACACTCTGTGGAGAGAACATTCAGCTGGAAATCAGAGGCCTTTGCTTAAAAAGAGGCCTGTGGACAATATACGGATATCAGGAGAAAACAATAAGGAAATGTACCTGCTATTTACAGACCATGAAAATAAACAAGACTATGTGGAAAGAAGAGGCCTCACTAGATTGTACATAACAGCAGGTGTTTAAACTTCAGATGGAGTATACTTACTGTATACAATGTGGGGAGGCTCCGCTAGTTCAAACAGAATATGTAAACCCTCTAATGGGGGCAAAGACCCAGAGATACTTGACCCCAGTCCAAATATTACATAATATATACAAGACAGACAGTAGGCCCCCAAAACTGCAAACATCAGTTGTGTAAATTTTACTATTCATCCAAAAAAAAAAGAAAGAAAAATAGATTTAATGTAATTTACATTCAGTAGATTATATTATTTATTTATTTACATGGGATGGCAGCCTTAGACGAGTCCAGGATATAGTTCTGATCCATATTTAACAGTGTTGGGCAACCAATTATCCTATTCTACCAATTTATAGCAATTCATTTAATTATTTATAACAAACTGGGATCATCCTGCAAAACCCAAATAACTCCACTATTTAAATGAAAGCAGTAAATCACACAGTGTAAAGTGTTGCCCTGAAGACATATGGGTCACCTTTCATACTTACACTCTTTCATCATGCCAATGTCCACACAGCGTTTGAGCCGGCATGCCTGGCAGTGGCGCCTGTTGTCCTTGGTGATGGTGCAACTGCCGTTAAAGGGACACGTGAAGGCAGCCTTGCGCTTCATACTGCGCCTAAATAAATTGTATACATTTAACAGTCTGCTAAAATACACAGATATATCAGATCATAAACAATTTTTTTCCAAAGAATTCATTGACGTTATTAAGAATTTAGTTAAGGCTCTACGTGTGTATCTGAATACATATGTAACTATGTTGATAATGGAACTCTGTGCAAACAAACTGAATTCAACTTAAATAGCCCTGTGGCACCTTTCAACGTGTTTTGCTCAAATAATCATAGCAGAACTGGATAAATATTTTTGCCCTTGAAGCCTGGGACTGAGTAAAACAGCATAAATATGGACGAGTGCCAAAGAATCCAGGGGTAAAAGACAAGTCTTGCCAAATGGTGACGCAAACCAAAATGATTTAGACAGTGATGGACATGTATGTATGTACAATTATACACAGATGTGAGTAAAAACACACAGAAATGCATTCTTGGTGAGAGTTCAAACAAGGGCCAGCTGAGAGACAAGGAAGGAGATTATCAAAACATCCGTCTTTTTCATCCTCTCCGCCGAAAGGAACAGACGCAAACGGGCAGATACATCAAACACACACAAGCTCACAAACTTGCTCTAGTTTTGTCTTTTGTTAAATTGGAAACTTGTGTGTGTATCAATGAGCAGGCAGCAGCCAAGGCATTAACTATAGGACCGAGCTCATTTGTATTCTCTACCTGCTGCTGGGCCTTAGTGTGAACTCGAATGTTGTCAGTGGTTTGGTGTGTGTTCGGTGTGTGTTCTTGTGCAACTCTGGGTGGCAATTACGTTTAATGTGTGAGTGTCTGTGTGTGTAGGTGGCCTTTATATATGCAAGTTCAGACCTGTGTTTGTATGCTAATGTATACATGTGTCAATTACTTGGTGAATATTCATCTTCTTGTTTTCAGCAGTATGATATAAGCTATTGTGCTACACAAGGCCTTTTTAGTGTGTGTACATTATGATGGCGTATCTATGACCTCACATATGTATTTATGTACCTGAAAAAACCCTTGCAGCCCTCACAGGTCATGGCGTTGAAGTGGAAGCCGGTGGCTTTGTCACCACACACGCCGCAGATCCGCGGCACATTCCTGTCGAACTCATCAGGGGCCAGAGTGGACGTACTCACAACCGTGGATTCCATTACTAAACAAAGAGAGGACAGATGGAGAAAGAAAAATAAGAGACAGAAAAAGGACAGATGAAATCAGCTCCTGGTTACACAACCTTGCTCAATAACTTTATAATCAATCAGCACAAAACAAGAAAGACAGTAAAAAACAAGAATCCGGCTGCCAACTTCTAACATCTGAAGTAAATTTAAGAATATTTAAGTAATAATTAATTAATAAGTTATAATCTGTTCACAAGATAGGTGACAACAAAATAATAAAACTAATTTTAAATTTCTGATAATTAACCATTCCATCATTATGTTATAATATAATATTTTCAACTGTTGTTTTTTTTATTACAAAGTTGCTGAAAAAACCCTACACGAAGTAGATGTCTTTCCACCTGTCTCCATACCAACCAAACAGTGTCCCTTCCTTCAGGGACAAATCCCAGTCCCCAGTCTACCCTTTGGAGGTGAACTCAACTCCAGTGTTTTTGTCTTGGGGAAAGGAACCGGAGCCATATGAATCAAGTGGAAAAACCCCTTGTTCCCCTCCAAAATGCTGGATCTGGGTTACATTTGATTACATAGTGCTCAGAGTATCCATAAAGAAAAGGCATGTCACCGCAAGGCTAGCATCCTCATAAACAAACAATCACTGTCCTTTTCACAAAGCTCCTTTCTTATTCTTTTCTTTGCTTCCACTGCAGAGTGAAAGCGAAGCAAATGATGGAAGGAGATGGAGGGGCGAAGGAGTGGAGGGAAGGGAAGGGAAACTAAACCAATACAAACCTCAACAAACTCACAAATCAACAGCCAATGAGGTAACGGCCCAGCTGAATAATTGAAAATGTTTTGACAGATCACTCTATCAATCATGTCTAATGTTAAAAAAAAAAGGTCCTACCAAAAGTCTCATACTCCTGTAAATGCAACAACTGTGTTCTTATTTCTGTTGTTTTTCTACTTAGTACAACTTTGAATTTGAACAGTGTGCCTTTAAACCAAAGTCTGTTTCTGACCACTTCCATTAACAGGACATGTAGTCCTTATTACAACAAAGGGTCAAAAGAAGAAAGGAAACAGAGGATCTAGTCATTGCTTTACTGCTGCAGGCATCATGGACAGCAGTGACTCGAGCTTCTACTGTATGCTGATGTCTTGTATCATAGCACCACATGCTCCAACCAGGAACATCTGATACAACGACTGTTACAGTTGAGTGAAACAGTAGATATATACACACAACTGGAAGTAGTAGCAAATACACTGCAAGTATTTGTGGAGGGAATTCGGCAGGCAGGTTGAACTGAATTCAGATATACAACAGATCACAGAGAAACAGAGACCAACTGATATATCAGCTGACGATACTGGGATATTGCCTCATCATAGACGTATCAGTATCGTATGGGCATAAACTGTTTTTTCCAGTATATAATACAGAAACAAATGCTTGTAGTTATATATTGGTGTCACTGCAAAGTTTATCTAGCAGGGTGCACTGTCATTTACAAATATTGTGACATGCAGCACAGAGTAGGAGAAAAGAAGCAGCTTCAGCAATGGCAACTAGAATTGGTTGACAATGTATATGTTAAATTATTTATCAAGAATATTCAACTTAAATATTATTTAATATTTAGTTTTGAAAGCTATTTGTTTAAGAAAGCAGCTTTCTGAGTATCTGCATAGTCGTATTGGTGCGAAATCGGTGCATAACCATGTAAAAAACTGCAACAGCTGATGTAAAGTAAACTCAAAGGAGAGTAGTAAATTCTCAGATTAACATGTGGGTTAAATCTACACTGTTAAGACTGACAAAACAATTCATTTGCACTCATTGTACATTTACTGTCACTGCATAGTAACAGGGTCAAAGTTTCTATGAGCATTGTTTTGTTTTGTTAGATAACCAACTAGCCTCCAGTGACTTTCTTCACTTGTCTCATAGTAACTTTCTTTCTTCCACCAACTCTCTCACACGTGTTGAGTCAAAGGTCCCTCAGAAGGACATACCAGGCAATGAAAGCTGCACTACCATCAATCATATTAGACAAATGTAATGTCTCCATGACAGTGGGTTTATCCATGGACACACATCAAGATAAGGCCTCCAGGCTATTTACTATACGATAACAGGTGATGTAATATGAATTGGCACAGGTCACACTCTCACACATCACGTAGCCTAAATAATGCGAGTAACCCTGCTGGCCAAGACCCTGCGGCTATTTGTCGTTTTTATGAAAGCACCAAAAACGAATGGAGACACACTTAAACTGAATATTTAGCATAAAAATATGGTTCTAAAATAGACCTTTTTCACAGCAGCCATTTTGACATGAAACAGGGTAAACACAAGTGTTACCAATGATACTAAATAAGGTGCCGTTCTACTCAGATCAGAGTGAGGGTGCTGCTGTTGTGCATGTTGGCTCACCATAAAGGCTCTGTTACACTAAATGGAACATAAGCTTAATTTGTATAATTGGTAACACCTGTGTTTACCCTATTAGTTCATGTCATGTCTATTGGGATTTATCAAACGCTGTCATGGTTCTCTAATAACACTGATTTCATGGGAAAATACAATTTCTGTCAGCTACTCGATGACACGATTTGTCAATTTAAGATGAGTTTTCAGAATCAGCCAGGACATTATGGAATCTCGCAGCCTCCTGCAGTGAGGGTATGGAAACTCCCTTGTGTTGGTGCAACCTACGCTCCCAGCCTCAATTGGGATGTCTGTTAAAAAGTATTAGTTAAGTAGCTTTGTATTGTGAGTTGTTGTATGAGCTGGCCCATAAACACAAAAATACGGTAATATGTGATGAAGGACAGTATAAATGTGATAAAAGAGACCTTCTGAAGTCCTGTTGATGTTTGGAGCAGTGACACATTATCGACAACGTACATCTATGACACAACAGAAAAAGACCGCAGTGGTTTAAACATATAATTGGTCCTTTTGGCAGGTCTAACAGAACAGCTACAAAATCTTATTTGCTATTGTGTAATATAATGTAACCCTGACCAGTATAAATGGCAAAGCCTTTTGTAAAACACAAAATCTGTTCTACTGCATGTGGGCAAACTAATCCCACCAGGCATTCACACTCATCACTCACTGTGAACCAATAGGCAAAACACGCTTATACCTTACTATATCATCAACTGATCAGTGAAGTCAGTCCTCTGTGATTGCATTCAGCCATGACAGGCCATTACACTAAATGCACAGCAGTATTGAGAGACTGCTAAATAATGCATCAGGTTATTAGACCAGATCAGTACTCATTCCAGTCTCAGACACGCAGAGCCAGGGAACAGGTTTTCAGCTTTAGGCTCCTGCTGAATGCCCCACTCTTGAGTGATATACATATTTGTGTGTACGGCATTCAGCAGCATCAATCAGATCTGCCATTGCAGTAATAATGCGAAATATTACTCATGCTTCATGTGTTACACTGGCATAAAGCCTAAGGATAAAACAGTAACACTGTGACGGCTAGCTAATAGACGCTGATATGTATAATTACAACATTTGATAAGCATCTATTCAGATTGTAACTATTTTACCAATTACACAATCACTGCCATGTGTTTTGAATTGTGCATTGCAGCAGGAGGGACATTATGCTTTGCCACTGACTGAATTAGTTTAACATCTTGGAGTCCAGAAACTTTTGGAGCTAACGACTGTTGAACTCCAAACAGTTGGAAGTAAAACTTTCTCAGGTGGTGAACAGATTTGTTGTTCCCTGCAAACAGGAGTGGCGTATATTTGGCAGAAATATGATGTTAAGAACACACAGAGCATACAGAGAGACAGTGAAAAATGGACTATACTGCGAAAGGTGTTTGAGATGTTTCTCTGGATGTTTCACTATTCTGGGTCATCAGATTTACTTTTTCAACATTTTCTTCTCCAAACACGTGTAACGTGTGAAGCATTTATTAGGTTATGTTTTCTTACATTTCGGTCAAGCCAACTTGTAAACCAAAGCAAGAAACTTCCACCAGCTTTGGTAACTTAACGAAAGGAAGAAAACCTGTATTATTAGCAATTATAACAATAAAATTTTAGTTCTACCTACTCTGAAAAATGGCAACAACAAAAGTAGAAAAATAAAAAATTGTATTTCACAACTTCATGAAAGCATGAGAAAACCTGGAAATAAGATAGAGTTGTACTTTAAAGGTCCTGTATAATGGTTTCAAGACCTCATTTATTTTCATTGGTTTGACATAAAACAGAATGTCGGGCTAGGACTTTACATTGGAAAAAAATAAACAGATTTAATAAACAAACTGAAACTAGGGAAACAAGACAAAAGTAATTTTTGGTATATGACCTTAAAGCCACACATTAGTCTGTCACGGTTTATGAGCAAGTTCGTATCTTAAGACTAAAAACATATCATCTAGTATATCACATAAAAATGATATTTAATAAATTGGTTTTAACCTTTATTTTGTGGCCTTTTGTTTACCATACATAATCCTCTGCTCCCGAGGTGATACTTTCCAATGGTCTGACTGAACACTGCTGACTGGTGACACAAGCTCCCAGACAGCATGATGTATACCGCATTTATTCACAATGCAAACAAGCACTGGTTTTAACTAGTAATATAATTAGGACTTGGGATGGGAACTTCTTGCAATGTAATAACTGTTTAAACAATATGTCCAACTTTCTGACAACTCTAAAAGAGTGAGATACGAGAGAGAGTGGGTTCTTAATTAAGAAAAGAAAACTTAATTATATTTGCTAATTATTTCAATGTGATAAAAACAGTAGATTGCTGCTTCTTTGGAGATGAATGTCAAAACATTTTTTCAAACTGCACATTTCCCTCCCAACAGCTTATCAAGTGTCGCACACGCACAAAAAAACCCACTAAGAAACTGGACATCTGACCTAAGTTTCTGGAATTACTTGCATTTCTACACTACTTCTATTCTCAGATATTTAGTCTTCATTACAGATATATCATCACAATTATATGCACATTATCTTTTA